ATGGGCGTAGGTAATGGGCAGGTTTGATAATCCGCGGCCCAGTGACAGAGGATTGCACCCGATCAACCTACAATAGCTGTCATCATCTAAACTTCATGCTTTCTCCATGACTGTTGGGTCAAGACCTCTACCACTACTTGCATGGTCGTTTGGGACATCCTTTGTTGTCTACTTTGCATATGTTATTCATAATTATTCTCTACCTGTTGTGATTCATTCAATAAAAGTCTATTTGTGTGTCATGTCAACTAGGTAAGTCTAGCAGTTGCCATTTTCTAATTCCTCCAGAGAGTCGACTACTCTTCTAGAGTTAATTCATTCCAATGTCTGGTCCACTTCCACTCCATCTTTGAGTGGTTGTCTCTACTATGTTATTTTTATGGATGACTTTACTCCTTTTGGTGCTATATCCCATTTCTAATAAATCAGATGTTTATGCCCGTTTGTCAAATTCAAATTTTAGTAGAAAACAATTTAGTTATCCCTTAAGCGATTACAAAGTGACAATGGTGGCGAATACTGTTCCACCATTTTTAAACAATTCTGAGTAATAATGGGATCTTTCATCAGCTCTCTTGTCCGCATACCTCTCACACACCGGTCTTGCCGAGAGAACATCTCATTAAGTTGAAATGGACTCACTTTCCTTGCGCAATCTGGCTTACCTAAGAAATTTTGGGTTGATGCTTTCTTAACTTCAATTTTTATCATTAACGATTGCCCACTAAAGTTCTTAATTTTTCTTCACCCTTTAATGTCTATTCATCTTCCTCCAGATTTTAGTTATTTTTGTTTCTTGGGTGTCATGTCTTTCCATGTCTTCGACCTTAATGCCTAATACCTCTCGTACCGTAGCACACCATGCATTTTCATTGGTTATTGTTCTAATCAGAAGGATTTCGATGCTATGATCCTTCCCTCCGACGTGTGTATATTTCCAGAATGTGATCTTTGATGAGTAGTGTTCCTGCTGTGGTACAATCTCTTATCATGGACTCTACAGCACGTTCCCTCAACAGGTAATTCTCCACCCTTACTTCCTTTTCCACTTTTACCATTTTTCCCTCATCTTGTCCTTCCACTTCAATTTCACCACCCCACACTACTCCTAAATTCCTACTGACCATGACTTCTCCATTCCACCAGACACTCTACCAGACATTGCCTCTCCTATTTCCTCTTCTCCGACAACATCCTTGAGCCCCCACCTATTGCTCCTACCGTGCAGCCCCTTCTTTTCACGTTGTCACTAGATCACAAACTGGTCAACTTAACCCCGCACATACCCTGATTTTCATCTCTATTACTCACACGTCACCCCCTGGAGTTTTGCATGCAGTGTGTTATTTCTAAGCCCAGTTCCTATGCTCAAGCTACTGCTATACCTGAATGGCATTCAGCTATGGAGTCTGAATTCCAACTTTGTTGAAGAATCAAACCTAGACTTTATGTCCTCGTCCACCTGGAAAAAATGTTGTTCCGAGTAAATGGGTTTTTTAAATCCAAACGCAGACCAGATGGAAGTATTGAAAGACTTAAAGCACGACTGTTACAGTTGTTTATCTCCAGCGTGGTGTATTGATTTCTTTGACACATTCAGCCCAGTTATTAAACCTTCCACAGTTCGCATGGAACTCTCCCTTGCTATCTCATTTAATTGGACATTCACAACTAGATGTGTCCAACGCTTTCCTTCATGGATTTTGGATGAGGAAGTTTATATCTCAACCTAAAGGTTTTGAAGATCCTACCAATCCACAGTTTGTGTGTAGTTGCATAAATCTATTCATGGATTAAAACAAGCTCCTCGGGCTTGGATTCGCTTATCCACTACCCTTTTATCTCTCGGTTTGTAAGCTCTCAGGTTGATCCCTCTCTGTTCACTATCACCGTGACTCTAAACATGCCTTTCTGCTAGTTTACGTGGACGGCATTCTTTGACATCTAATGTTCGGTTTTTTTATTGATGAGCTGATCTCTAATCTTCAGTTGGACTTGCTATGAAGGACCTTGGGCAGTTATCATACTTCCTAGGTATTAAAGCTACTCGTGATTCTTCTGGTTTACATCTTCGCAGACAGATATATTATTGATCTCTTGGATCGTGTCAATCTCACTAGCATACGTCCTTATCGTGCCTATGTGTTTTCGGGTACTAAGCTATCCAAATTCGATGGAACCCCCTGCTTGATCCTTCCGAATATCGTCACACAGTCGGTGCCTTACAATATGTAACTCTCACTTGCCTAATATTGCCTACTCCATGAATCAACTTTGCCAACATATTCAAGCCCCAACTACAGCTCATTGGACTACGCCAAGCGTGTCCTACGTTACCTGAAAATACTTTGGACTTTGGCCTTTTTCAGACTTGGTTCTTTCTCCATTAACACATATTGTGACTTGGATTGGGCCGATGATCCCGATGATAGACGTTCAATGTGTGGCTTGGCTTTTTTGTTGGTCCCAATCTTATCTCGTATCGGCAAAGAAACAACCAGCGGTTCTAAACAAGCACTAAGGCTGAATATAGATGTCTGGCTCTAGTTACAGCTAAAGTGTATTGGCTACGTTGCTGTTATGTGAACTGGAAATTTCTCTTGATTCACCTCCTATTATCTGGTGTGATAACATTAGTGCCTTTGCACTTGCCTCCAATCCTATTTTTCATGCATTTCTAAGCATATCGAGGTGGACTACCATTTTGTGCGTGAAAGTCGCACACCGAGACATCATTTGGAGCATATTTCAACTTCTATTTTGCCTGCAGATATTTTCCACCAAAGGCATACAACTGATAGATTTTGTTTCCTTCGTGACAAACTGGCTATCTGCGATCTTCCGGCCAGTTTGTGGGGGAATGTTAGTGATACGAGATGATCATTCAAATAGTCAAAAACTCAAAGCCAAGTCAGTGAGCCGCGTTTCTGTAAACCAGTGAACTGCATATCATCTATCTTATATTGATGTTTGTAATATATGTTTATCTCTTGTACAACCTTATATTGAATGTTTGTAATCTATGTTTATCTCTTGTAACAACCTTAGATTTTCTGCGGTTTTGATCTCATCTGATGTAATTACTCTGGTAAATATACACTATACTCTATATCTGGTAAGTCTTTCCAGAACATTTTTGGTTTCTTTCAATAGCAGCCAACAAATTCTTTCTCCATTGAATAAACTGTATGAGGTGTTAATTTTATCTCCTTTAGAGTGGTAGAGTCACTTACTTATCTATTGTTTAATGTGAGGTGATTATTTCAAGGTTAAGGCACTTATTATTATTATTTTATTCCCTGTAAGTTGTTTATTTATTTATCATTCTACTATTCTTCTTCTCCTCCTCCAAAGGTTTGTTTATCTTATTATATATCAGTTTTGGGTTTAAAAATGCCTAATTTCATGGGCTTATGGTCCAAAGGTGTTGGGCAGACCACAGCCCACTTAGATATATAGAATGGTTATTTAGCACAACACCAAGGCCCATTTGGTCTAAATTATAGCGACTAATGATAATTTTATAAACTAATTATCTACAAATATAATAAATATAATTTTAAAATTTTTTCTTTCATTTACAAGAAAGGAGAAATTCCAAATAAAAATAGAAGTTACTAATTGCATTAAATGATGGTAATTTATTTAATAAACAAATGCACCAAAATTAAGTCTTATCCTTAATGAATAATCTTCTAGTAAATGCCATCTTACATGAACAAGTCAATTAATTTTAAACTACCTTACGGATCTCCTATAACAAATTTAGGATCACATTTTGAACATAAAGAAAATTAGAAGCCTATAAAATAGGCTTAATTAAGTTACCCCATTTAATATATAGTCTCATACAATAACTTAAATCTCATATGTAGAATTGTCTATGCACTTATTTAGAACTTGAATATATATATATATCATATTTGAGTTTTTTTTTTTTTTTTAAAACCCTCCTTTAAGAAATCATTTAGTCACACTCTCACTTAAAATGGACCGAATTATCATATTTGGATACCATATTCAAATCAAGTAGGAATTCTTGACATACTCGATTATCATATATTATCTAGTATATGGATGTCAACACTCCTCTAGGCTTTAGTATATTGAGTGGTCAAACACTCTTTCTAGTACTTATTTGACCGTAGATCTGTATACTCTACGCACTAATTATCTTACAATAAATCACTTATTAATTGAATACTTATATTTCAAGTGTATCAAATTTGTCCAGATATAATAAGAAAAATACAAGATATATTATTTTTCAAAAAAATCAATCCCAATACGATTACCAATACTATTAATGAATTAAAAAAGAATGACGAATGGCACTATTATGATGAAATAGAGCAAAGTTTGAAGATATTTTGCTTTAGGAATTTTCTAAACCAACGAAGCAAGCACATCTCTCTTATTACTCTTTTATATGTCTTTCCTTTGTTACTTTTTGTTAAACACTTCCTCTTATATATCCACCTCTGAAAGGATAGAAGAATCTTCTTCTACAAGCTCAAGAAAACTAACAAAGTAGAGAAAGAAAACAGAGAGCATAAAACTGAAAAACTGAATAATCTTTTTCTAACTAACAATACAAGATACACGTGATGTGCTTATAAGCAACATAGCATGACCAAGAGTAAACGACATCGTTTTTACATAAGCTTTCCTCATTTGTTAATTTCCACTTTTGTCCTTCATTATATCAGTCCCCCATAAACCAAACATTCTTTACTTCTCCTCTTATCTTCATATTCCCTCTTCATCGACACCTCATGACTTTCTTCACTTCTCATCTGCAGTTATTCTTGACAACAACTTTAACTGACTTCTTTCTCATTAGTTTTTTTTTTTTTTTCCTCTCCTACTAATTCTGCGACTTTAATAACGAATTGCAATGAGCTGGTGAAGCGAACAACAACAGCGAACTGATGAATCTACAACTTTTAATAACGAATCTACAACGAGTTGATGAAGTTAGTGAGCTAATGAAGCGAACAATGGCTGATGAAGCGAATAACAGCAGCGAACTGATGACAAACAAGACAATAGCTTTTAACCATTACAAAACCACCGTTGCTTGTAAGTGACTTATGAAAATTACAAAAAAACTGAAGCGAACAACAACTTTCTCAAATCTCCAGCAAACAGCAATTTTTCCTGATTTCTTTCTCCACCACACACACTTTAACTGACTTTTCTCATTATTTTTTCTCTTCTACTAATCTACAACTTTTAACTTTTTCCTTAGCCACTGAAATCTATGTCCAGACAAGGGCTTTTTTAAGATATCTGCTAGTTTGATATTCAGTACCCACATACTGCACACTAATTCTTTATCAGCAACCAACTCTCAGACGTAATGCACACTATTTCAATGTGCTTCGTTCTTGCATGGAAGACAGGGTTTGTGACAAAGCCCCTGCACTCATGTTGTCACCCACAGAATAGCTTGAGTGTGTTTTCATTCCTAGTTCTGTAAAATTTTGAATCCAAACCATTTAGTGGCGGCTTGACACAAAGACCTGTACTCTACTTCAGTAGATGACAGAGAGACCACCTTTTGTTTTCTTGAACTCCACTGGATCAATTTCCTCCCAGAAAGATTCCATACCCACTGGTTGATTTCCTATCGTTAGTGTCACTGGCCCAATCTGCATCAGCATATCCTTCAGAATAAATCTTTTATCTCTGGTGAATAACAACCTATGAATGGTCCCTTGATGTACTAAAGTACTCTATTACAAGTTGACCATGAGCAACCATGGGAGTCGCAAAAACTGACTAAGTTTGTTTACAGCAAATGCTATATCTGGTCTAGACAAGTTAAGTACTGCAGCCCCCACACCTTTCTATAGAGAGAAGGTTGATCAAATACTTCATCATCCTCTTTACTGAGTTTTGTTCCGAGCCATAGAGTCTGACAAGGTTTTGAATCTGCCATGCCAACTTTGTTTGCAGCTCATAGTATACCTGGTTTGCTGTTAGAGCAGTGAGGAATAATTTCTAGTCACTTCAAACCAAGAAAATAGTTAAGAGACCCCAATTTTTGAGAGCAAATTGTCTATTCAAATCTATCACAATTTGCTTAATAAGATGATTACATTCCAGTGAGAAGGATATCTCTACATACACCAGCAATAAATGACTTGAGCTTCTCTTTTGAAGTAACACTAACATCAATAGCAAATTCTCAAAACCCCAAGACAGTATACACTCTTCAACTTGTCGAACCAAGCTCTAGGAGCTTGTTTCAAGCCATACAAGGCTTTATGTAACTTACAAACATGCTTTGGTAAATGTGGATCACAAAACCTTCGGGTTGATACATGTAAACAGTCTCAGTTAGCTCACCATTAAGAAAGGCGTTGTTGATATCGATTTGTTGGATATCCCATTGATGATAAACTGCCAAGGATAGCATGCTCTTTGGTGGCAGCTTTGATAACAAGTGAAAAAGTCTCAAAAATTCAAGCCTGGTGTTTGTTGAAATCCCTTTGCAACAAGCCTTGCTTTATACCTTTGCAAAGATCCATCATAATTCAGTTTGGTCTTAAAAACCCAGTTGTTGTTTATTACATTCATTCTAGGCATACAAGGCACCAGTTCCCAAGTCGATTGTTCATAATGCATTATATTCTATCAACATTGCATCTTTCCAGTCTAGTGTATTTAAGGCTTCAGTTGCAAATTTAGGCTTAACTAAGATTGTCTGACTGGATAAATAGGCACAAGGATTGGATGAATTCGACTGCTTTTGAACCTGGTCACCATCAGATGAGTGTTCTGAGTATTCTGAGTTTGGAACTTAGGAAAACATAAATCAACTTCCAACTGAATTCCTGATGCTCAGAAGAAGATATGTACTCTGTAGGTGTTGTGCATCTATCAGGTGGTTGATTAGCAGACTGATTTCTTTGTAACCTGGGTCCTAGAAGAGATACAATTGAAGAAGGTATGACAGGTGACATATATGCTGAGCAGAGATTGGTTCACATGCAGTAGGTTGAGTTCTTTGTAACCTGGAATCTGAGAGAGGCACTGCAGTTGAAACATTTTGCTGAGCTAGCTGATGGATTTGTATGATTGTGTAGGAGGACCTCACGGGATTGATAATCTGGAGCTTGGACTGTACACAGCTTGTTGAACTAGAACCTAGAAAATGCACTCCAGTTGAAGCATTTTGTTGAGCTGCAGATGGTTTGTATGATTGTGTAGAGAGGACCTCACTGGTGATTGAGAATTAGGAGCTTGGACTGCACACAACTTAGTTAAACTGGAATCTAGAAAATGCACTCAAATGAAGTATTTTGCTGAGCTGCAGGCGCTGATGCAGATGGATCTTATGATGGTGTAAAGAGGATCTTTAGTGATTGATAATTCGGAGCTGACCTGCACAAACTCAGGGGAACTTGTAGTTATGTATCTGAAGAATAGATAGAATAGTTTAGAAGCTGCCAAGAACTTTGAAAGATGGGAGCATTGTCAGTCCAGCAACCTTACTACCTCACATGAAACATTCTTGAAATCATTTTTAAATGGAAATCAACTATTGAACTTGGCTTGCTTGACAATATACAACTTACTAGATGAGGACATACACTTATAGCCTTTATGAACTAGGCTATAACCCAGAAAAACACACTTCTCTATGGTAAACAAATTTTTGCTTCTGATATGGTCTAATGAGGGGTAACAACAGCAGCCAAACACCTTTAGATCATTATAGTTTGGTTCTTGACCATAACAATGTAAATGGAATTGAATAATCAAGAAGTTGAGGGTAGTCTATTCAACAAGTAACCTGCAGTACTAAGGACTGCCACAAGAAATGAAGTGGCATAGCTCATGTGCAAGAAAGATAGTCCAAACTCAGTAATGGCTCTATGTTTCCTTTCTACCTGACATTTTGCTGGTGTAGATAGGGCATGGATTCTAAGAATATGCCAGGTTGGTCTAGATATTTGGAAAATATCCTAAACTCACCTCACCAATCTGTTTGCAAACATTTAAGCTTTAATTCAGCTGTTTTTCAACCAAACAATGAAACTTGTAAAGATGGGAAATGCTTCAGATTTAGCTTTCATGGGTATCCACCCTAATCTGTTGTAGTATCCACAATATGTTAATAGCGAAAAACTTCAGAAGATTTAACGGCAAGTCCCCATAGATCAGAGTAACTAATTCAAGTGGAGCTTGTGAATGAGAATAATATAGGAAATTGTGCTTGTTGCATTTTACCATATTGACAAGCCTCACAAAAAGGTATTTTATGCCAAGTAATTGGATACTTCAGCTTATTCAACACACTTTTAAACTCTTTTCTTGAGGGTGTCCTAACCTAACATGCCATAGCAGGTAGTACTAAGCTTTGCATCTAATACGGGATGAACGAAGTACAATTATTTGCTGCTAAAACAGAGTTAAAACTAGAAGATCCAGCTTTTGAACCGAAACTTTATTTCCTTCAGCATTAAGTGGAGAGCAGAAAGCTGGAACTGCATATGAGGACGATGGATGCATAGCTGCATCAAGAGATCCAAAAGATGGTAGAGACATGCAACTGGTACAGCCCATCTTCTAGACTCCCTTGTAAAGTATGTCTTTAGTTGTTTTGTCCTTTATAAAGCAATGTGCAGCATGAAATTCAACAATACATCATTATCCTTCGTTATTTTGAAATGCTCAGAGATTTTTGGCTATACAAGGGACACACAACATATTTCTCAAACTCAACACCTTAGAAGAGAAATCAGAAGGTTAAATTTAATACTTGTATGTAATGGGAACTGTATGTCCATTACCAACCTGAACTTGAGTATCTCCTTGATAAGCTTAGGAAGAGCATGTTCTGAGGGTTTGCCGTCTATGATTTGTACTCTAAGTCTACAACCAGGTCCTATCATTTAAGTGTGAGGAGTGGCAGATGCAAATAAGGATCCTTGGTCAGATAGACCTATGACTTGGATTAGAGTTTACTCTGTTCCCAGTAAATGGAGTTGTCAGGGATGATTGAGGCACATTATACTATTGTGATAAAAGTGAAACATACTGTGGTGAAGTAGCACTAACTGAAGTATAAGATGATTAAACCTGAGGAGTGTTTGATTGAGGTGTTGTGTGGTCGAAGTTAAATGCAGGTCTTTGGTTAGACTAGTCCTATGATGAGTAGGAAATGGGCCGGAGGCATGACTCTTGCTGCCATTAGTCTTGGGTCGAAGCATCAGTGTAACTAGGATTTTGGTGTTGGTTGGGTTAACAGGAAGTGAGCCAACAATCTGTATATTCATGATTAACCGTTGAGAACAGTGAAGAGCATAATGGCCGTCTTCCTACATACTTGGCATCAGTTTAGAACGAAAATAGCCTCAACCTTTGCCTCGCCTCTTTGCATCTTAAGACAAACATCACATTCCAGGATAATGAGAAAATCCCCCATCAGGAGAACCATTTTGTGAGTCAAGTACTGAGAATGAACATACTGAGAAGAATCGATATTCATGTGAAATATATATCTACCATTAGGATGGCCAGTGCTTGAGGTCAAGTACTGGAGCAGGAGGATAGGCAGGTTGAACACTTGAATTCTCAAATGGATGATGCATTTATTGGTACAGATGCCGTTATATTCCCATTCTTGTCTAGACTTATTTAACAGCAGTTTCACTCTGCTTTGTAGCAAGTAATGTTGAAGCTAAGTGATCGAAAGATTAGAGTACACATATGTTATCTTTCAAGTCGGATTTCATGCTTATGAAGAAGGAATTGAGCTTCCTATAGAGTAACTTGACTACTTGTTGCAACTAAGTTGGCTACAACAGCATCATATTCAGGTCCTAGCCGTCTATTATGTACAATAATAGTTCTTCATCACTGATTAAGACTCCACTGTCACTAACTCATCACCAAGTTCTTTTATTTTCAATACATACTCTTTATAGTAAGTGCATCTTTCTTAGTACTTTGTAAAGACTTCTCAAATGTAAAGTTCGAGCCTTAAAGGCTGAATGAAAGTGTAGTTCATGTGTATTCCAGATATCATAAGTAGTAATACATTTCCTAACAAGACGAAAAATGGACTCAGAATATTAGAATTTAACCAGCTCACTAAGAACTGATCAGTTCGTTGCACAAGAAAAGTAGTTAGGGTTATCTCTTTCTTTGGTTGCTCAGATCCATCTGTCTTGTCCATTATAAACATCGAAGGACAAACTTTCTCTCCCTTGATATGGCCTTCAAGTCCATGGCCAATGAGAGCTGGAAGAATTTGAGACTTCCAGTAATTATAATTTTTGTCACTCAACTTGACAGAGATTAAGGAAGTGTTGGCAGTGTAATTGGATTCTCCATTTGAACTGAGGTATTTTCCATCCGTTTTTCACAGAGAGGTTTTCGCAAACAGAGCTTGAATTGAACAGAAAACTAGAAAGTCGAAAAACACAGGACCAACTTTTCCAACACGTGTGTCTAAGGCTCTGATACCATGAAAGATGAAGAGAATCTTCTTCTACAACTTAAGAAAACTAACAAAGCAAAGAAAGAAAAATAGAGAGCACAAAACTGAAAAACCTGAATATTTCTTTTTCTAACTAACTTACAAGATACACGTGATGTCTTATAAGTAAACTAGCATGACAAGAGTAAACGACATCGTTTTTACAATCATCTTTTCTCTTTAGTTAATTTCCACTTTTGTCCTTCATTCTATCATCTCTCCTGGGTTTGCTTCTGATTTCAATTTTGTATCTAGTTTGTTTTGTTTTGCTTATATCCGATAGATCTACCTGTGTTGTGTGATCTAATTGATTGATTCATTTGGGGGATTTGTTAGTTTGTTGTTGTGATAAGATTATGTGTTGACTTGCTTTTAAACTAATCATCAATTGAAACTAAGTAGATCATTAAGATTTTCGTTGTGGATAATTTCATCATTTCATGGTTGTTTGTGTTGATGCGTGATTCTAACACCAACTAATCGACATGTGCGCCACGTTGAGTGTCAAGAGACACACATGATTATGGATAGAAAAGGCAAATGAATGCAATGGGAGCTTTTAAAGTGGTTCGGATGCTAAGTTAGTAAGTCCTATCCACTGATTTGTATTAGTATATGTGGGTCAGGTCGTAACGCGGACTGACTTACAAATGATTAGGAAAGTAAATACAAAGTTTTCAAAAAAGAGAGAGAGTCCTTCTATAAATGCGAATCCCCTTAATGAGGGTCTTCTTCCTTTTATAACCAGATGAAGCGTGTAATCATCATTAAATCCATGGGTTGGTGTGAGTGTCAGGACATAATCCGGCTTTACGTCCCATTGCCCTCTTTCCAAGCTGATTTCCCGCATTTATTGCAGGGAAATGGACATGTGGAGCTCCATAGCGTTTGGCAGACCTGACGTGCGCTTACCATTCTGACGGGAGCAGGTCACGCTTCACCACGTACTTCCCACGTCAGCCCTGGTTTTCCAGGCATAACAGAAGTCCCCTAGTTTTTAAGGTTTGAGGATCTAACCTTGGACTATGTCATGCCGCGATTGAAGGTTCTGGTATTTCGACCTGAATGGAAGAACTCGGACGGGGCCTTTTGCGAACACGACCCCGCCACAATCTTTGCCCAAACGACCTGACAATCATCATCCTAGCGACCTGGATTCATCGGACATTCTTTACCATGCCTTAGGTTTGGAGATTCAATAACCTGTTTCCCGCTGTCAGGCGCTCTGCACGTGTTAAAGCGTCTGGCAGCGCATTAATGCGTTGTATGCTGACCCGTGTGTTTTTACAGCATTATTGCACGACACATCTGAACAATGACCCTCATCACAACATTGAATGCACGTGGGGCGCATTTATTGCGGAGAGAGAGAAAAGGCTGTCGTTTCGATTCCGAAGGGTGGTAACCGTCGGTTCGCAGTCAATATAAAGCCCAGATTTTCAGATGATGCCACCAGAATCCCTTCTACCTCGAGTGAAAATCTTTGCAAACCGAAGCTCTTCTTTCCAATTAGTATCTCTCCGGCATCCAAACAAGATCCGTCCTCAGTTACGCGCCCTAGAAGGTAAGTCCCTTTTCCTTCTTCCTCTCTCTTCTTTTTTTTTTGTTTGGTTGGCGGGCAATGGCGTTGGGTCACCTGTGTTTCATCAGAGACGCAATGCTGTTGTCGATTCGAGCCGTGGATGGCGGCTCAAGTTACTGTTAGGGTTTAAGGAATTTGTCCCATGCCACCGCCGGAACATATGTGAAGGCTAAAATGACCTGTCTGTCGGTGTTGCAGACTCTGGATGGAACTGTCAATGTCTAGACCCGAGGAAGGAGTCAGTTCGTCTTCGCGGGATGTTCCCGTGGACGCATCCCTTGACGTCTCGCGTTCTCACCCGAGAAGAGTTCGATAGGATAAAAGACAGTTCGACGTCTGCGTAGAGGTTGTTCCTCGACAACACCCGGTCGTCGCGAAATCCTTCTGATGCCCTGGCTACGATCTCTGAGAGATCTTCAGGGTGGAGGGATGATTCCTTTCCATCCCTTCATTAGGTCGGCCCTGGATTACTTCGGGATCGCACCGATACAATTGACGCCAACGCGTATTCATCGCCATCACGATGTACATCGCGTGCCGCAAGTAGCCTGGGCGAGCTACAGCGGTGGAGCTCGGTATCGCCTACTATCTCAAAAGATAGGACAAGGATTCCTATTACTTGTCTCGGCGCCTCCATCGCCGAAGGATACATAGCATCCAACAACGCGGGGGCCTATGAGACAAAGTTCTTCTGTTTTTGCTATGACGCCATTGCCGCTTTCAAAAACCAAGTAGGTTCTTCTTGCTAGGTTCATTATCTGTTCGCTTGCTTTATCATAACGACCTACCTTCTTTTGCAGTTACAAGATGACAGCCAAGACCTGCTTGATGACTCGAACAGGCTCGTGTCTTTTGGAGTCCTTCCGGGAAGCCGGACACAAGGAAGCTCGTGACAACCGCAAACTTGCGGAAGTACGGTTTAATCAGTAACAATGCATCTTTGGAGCCCCTAGAAGGTAAGTCACACTAATTCTGTTTTGGTCGCAGAATAAATTTAGTTTACTAATGTACTTGCATCAGCGACCATGCTGCGAAAGAGTCCGAGCAGCCCGGCGAGCACCCTTCGTCTTCCCTCGATCGAGGAGGGAAAGGCGGCCGAAGCTACTCGTCCCATAACGGCACACTGGTGCGAGCAGCCGCGCCTTCCCGCCCAGTCCTGTGCAGAACGACCAGGATAGAACATGTCTCTCAGCCACCCACCTACTCGCCCAAGGCGGAAGGCTCCGGCCGAAGTCGAAGAAGAGAAAGCAAATTCAAGTCAACGAGTCAGAGACCGAATCTGAGGAAGAACCCTTGAGGTCGCGACAGACTCAAGAAGGAGGTCAGCAAAAACCCGTGGACGAGACGATCACTGCCGACAGGCGAAGGGCACGCCAGTGCTAAACTCGTTGGGAGCCTGCCCGATACCTGCAATCGTAGTCTATTCTCTGCTCGAGTGTGGGCTATCAGAGTCATATGATGAGTTCGCCGATACGAGCGACGACCTGATGACCATGTCGTTTCAGCATCTAAGCAAGGTAATGAACTGCTCTTAAAGTTTGTCCGCCGTTTTCATTCTAACTCACTTCTTGCTCGCAAGCTTTGCTTGCATGAGGATGTCTATGGCGAAGACTCGGCTGGGGGCGCGAAGGGCAAGCGCCTAAAGGAGGAGGTCGCGAACTCAAATGAGCTTAGAGTCCTTTGAAGCAGAAAGAATGCAAGCATTCGAAGTTGCGAACAGGTACTTAACCAAAAGGATGCGCGTTTGCGGATAGTGGACTTCCAAGCGGAGCTTGAACGACGTCGAGGAGTAAGGAGCTTCAGAGGACAACCGCTAAGCTCTCTAAGGGGTCGGAGAGAAGGACCAGGAGCTCCGGACGACCTCCATAGGGCTTAGCGAGCTGAACAAGAAAGGGAAGCTTCCGAAAAGGAAAGGCTTGCTCTCGAGACTGAACTCCAGGAGAGTCGGGAAAGAATTGCTTCACGTGACTGAAGAAATACGGATCCAGTCAGGGAGATCGAGGATAAGGCCGCCGACTGGGCAACTGGGTCCATTTATAGCCTGCGACCAAACCTAGATATGATATTTCTGACCTCCCAGAGGGTGGCAAGAGGCCTGTGCGATCTTGGCAGAGGAAGACAATCAACAGTAACGGCCACCCAACATCCGACCGGCAGAGGGTTCGGGTCTTGCTTCGAAGGGTCCCCCCGACCGCCATAAGCATGAGTCTGACTCCATTGGAATAGGTCTTAATTTTTGTTGTAAATAAATGAAAATACATTTTGCTTTCAATTGCTGTTCGCTTTTCATACATAAGGGCAGTTTACAATTCAATTTTACATAGCAATATTACATGCGAATTGTTACAAAACAAGAATAAATGCGACTATTTCAGCGAACAAAATAAATGTGAACTGTTTCAGCGAACAGAATGAATGCGAACTGTTTAAGCGAACAGGATATACTTTACACAAAGAGAACAACAAAATCAAAAACTGATCTATATGAGAGCTGAGTTCGGGATTACTGATAGTATGGTCGAGGTGCTCGGCATTCCAAGCTCGGGGTACTTTGGAACCGTTCAACCCTTTTGAATGGTAAGTCCCTGGTCGAATCACCTTGTCGACCCGATACGGTCCTTCCCAGTTAGGTTCTAGTACCCCCGCACTTGGCTCCCTGGTCCCAAGGAGAACTTCCTTTAACACAAGGTCTCCGACCTGGAAGTCTCTTCGCTTGACCTTGAATCGAAGAATCTCTTCGCACGCTGCTGGTAGGCTGCTATCCTCGCGGAGCCTTGCTGCGTTGCTCTTCAACGAGATCCAAACTTGCCTCATAATGCTTCGTTTCACACCTCTTGTAGCAGTCTCTCCGAGAACCAATTCCCACCTCACAGGAATCTTGCTTCGCAGCCATAGCTAGCGAAAAAGGGGTTTCTGAGGTGGAGGTTCTTGGGTTGTCCTGTAAGCCAATAAGACTTCGGGGAGATCGTCACCCCAATTTCCTTGGCTGCCCCAAGTTGGCCTTTAGAGTGTGCTTGATGGTCTTGTTGACAGCTTCAACTTGGCCATTTGCTTGTGGTCTAGCGACTGAGGCGAATTTTTTATGGATGCCCAGCACGTCGCAGAACTGCTTGAACTCCTCGTTATCGAATTGCTTCCCATTATCCGAGATGAAGGTGTGGGGATTCCGTAGCGGCATACTATGTTCTTGAAAACGAAGTCTTTCAGCTTTTTGGTCATGATCGCGCTAGCGGTTCAGCTTTGACCCATTTTGTGAATATCTAACCGCGACCACGCATACTTGACCCCTCCCTCCAACTGGCATGGCAATAAGGTCGATCCCCACATGGGAAATGGTCAGGGCTAGACATCGTTATCAGCTCGTGCGAGGGGCTCGCGGATGTTCGTGAACCGCGCACTTATCACATGTCTTGACAAAATTGTGCGTATCTTCTTGGATCTGGGCCAATAATATCCCTGACGACAACCTTGTTCGCAAGAGATCGAGCTGCTGTGTGATTACCGTAGATCCCTTCCTGAATTTCCCTCAGACGTAGTTTGCTTCTTCACTGGTTACACACGGAGAGAAGGGCACTGAATCCTCTCCTGTATAGCGGTCCCAAATGATGTGTAACGAGCAGATCTTGCTCGCAGGACCCTTGCCTCGACCTGTCGCTTGGCAAGGTCCCATCCTTGAGGTACTGGAAAATGGGAGTCATCCAGGAATCCGGTTGAGTCACATTTACACCTGTTCGGCTGAGCTGATAGTTGAGCAGATCGAGAAGAAACAGGAATGTTGTCTGAGCCTCTGAATCCAACGTGAGGCTATCTTTGCTAGGGCTGTCCGCTATAGAATTGCTATCTCTGGGGATCTGAGTGATTTCAAAGCGTTTAAACGACTTAAGAGCGGTCTTAGCTTCTTTCAGGTAGCGGACCATGTTCTCTTCCTTAGCTTGGTATTCCCCTAAAATTTGTTGACGACCAGCATGGAGTCGCTGTAAATCTATCGCGGTTGCACCCATTCTTTGGCAAGTCGCAACCCAGCAAGTAGGGCTTCATACTCAGCCTTATTGTTGGTCCGCCTTAAACCAATCGGAGATATACCATGAATTCGAGCCCCCTTGGGGCTTACAAGGGGAAGACCCGCACTGGCTCTTTTGTTCTGGACCCATTGACGTAGAGGTTCCAGGTCGACAATTTTGAATCTTTCCTGCACGACTTCGCTAGGTTGTTGGCTCGCTTAGGAGATAGGAAAATTCTGAGATGAATGTCTGCAACACTTGCCCTTTAATGGTCGACCTGAGCTTGTAGTTCAGGTCGAACTGGCTTATTCCATGGCCCATTTGAGCATTTTACCCAAGGCTCTGGTTTCTAGAGGACCTGCCTGAGGGGGTAATTAGTCATTACGGGGATCGTATGGGTTGTGGAAGTAAGGTCGCAGCTTTTTTGATGCGATTAGCAGAGCAAAGGCTACTCGCTCCATTTCCGGATACAGCTCGGCATCCGACAGGCACTTCTCACATAATACACTAGTCATTACGCCTTTTCCCTCTTCCTACCAGAGCTGCACTGACCGCGAACTGAGATACCAGTTAGATGAGCAGGATTTCCTGTGGAAGAGTCTTAGATAGGGAGAGGTGGCTTCCCGAGGTGTTTCTTTTATACTCTGAAAACGCCTGTTCGTATTTGGGAGTCCATTTAACTCTTATTGCCCTTCAGAACATTGAAAAATGGCAAGTAACGGTCTGTTAGCCTTGATATGAAGCGACTAAGTGCCGCTATTCGCCCATTTAGACTCATGACCTGTTTCTTGCTAGTCGGGCTCTCCATATCGAGCAGAGCTTGGACTTCTCGGGTTTATTTCTATGCCCGCTGAACTTTCTGACGATACCCGGAACGAACACTTGAAAGGGTTCAGCTTCATTCTGTACAGTCAGGAATGTCAAACATCTCAGCGAGATGTGCAGTTCTACGACCTGGATTTGACCAGCATGTCGTCCACAAGACCTCCATTGTCTTTCCGATCTTCGGAGAACATTCGATTAACCAACCTCTGATAGGTCGCGCCCACGTTCTTGAGGCCGAAAGGCATAACTTTGACAGTACACGCCCCCGTCAGTATTGAAGGACGTATGCTCCTCGTCTGGCCCATACATCAGGATTTGATTGTATCCCGGTATGCATCCAGGAAGCTTCAGCTCGTGCCCCGAGGTGGCATCAACGAGCTGGTCGATTCTCGATAGAGGGAAGCTGTCTTTTGGGCAAGCCTTGTTGAATCGCTGAAGTCAACGCAGGTCCGCCACTTACCGTTTGGTTTCTTTACCAGGACCGGTTGGCAACCCAAGTCGGGATAGGGCCTCTCGGATGGACCCATTTCGGAGGAGGCTTTCCACTTCTGATTTAGTGCAGCGTACCGCTTCGGATCCTGCTCTTCTTTTCTGGCGAATCGGTTTGGCCTCATTGTTGACGTTTAATGCATGGCAAATGATGTCCGAGCTGATCCGACCATATCTGCATACGACCAGGCAAACACGTCAATATTTCCCTTAAGAAGCTTATCAGTTCGAACGCGCGCGGGTTGGACAGCTTCCAATCCTTAATACTCGGCTCGACTCTTTTGGATCAACCGAAATTTCGGTCAGATCCTCAACTTGACCGCTAGGAGGGATTTTCTGGATTCGTGGATCTATGTTATCCTCCGCTGGACCAGGTTGTTTCGATCTGGCTGATCGCCATAGCCTGGTGAGGCACACATCGAAAATACCCTTTCCCTTGCCTACCATCTCACCGCTTTTACGTAGCATTCGCGAGACACGCTTTGTGATCCGCTCACTTCCCCTATCCCGGTTGGAGTGGGGAACTTCATCTTGATGTGATATATGGAAGTGACTGCCTTGAAGCTCCTCACAGAGGTCGCCCCAAGATTCCATTAAGCCGATGGGCAGTCCACGCCCAAAAATTCGTAACCCTAGTCACC